AGACATCCTAGCAGGCACCTGAATTGAGAAAATGTGGAGATATGTCTTTACAAAGAATGTCTTGAAGCAGAAGTCCATAAAAATTTATTTACTGTGTGCTTCAAGGTTGTTTCAAAACTGTAAAAAATAATCATACTTCAATGATGTCACCTGGGTTGTGGCAATCCCAGACACACCTATAGGCTGGGCAGAGAAGTGATTGAGAGCAACCCTGCAGAGGACTTGGGGGTGATGGTTGATGAAAAATGCAACATGAGCTGCAGTGTGAAGTTGCAGCTCAGAAAGCCAACTGAATCCTGAGCTGCATCAAAAGGAATGTGGCCAGCAAGTTGAATGAGGTGATTCTCTCCCTCTACTCTGCTCCCGTGAGACCCCACCTGGAATACTGCGTGCAGTTCTGGTACCCTCAGTGTAAGATGGATATGGAACTGTTGGAGCATGTCCAGAGGAGCCCACAAAGTTGGTAAGAGAACTGGAGTATCTCCCCTATGAAGACAGGCTGAGAAAATTGGAGCTGTTCAGCCTGCAGAAGAGAAGGTTGTCTGGGGACATCATAGCAACCTTCCATTATCTGAAGGGTCTACAGGGAAGCTGGAGAGGGACTCTGTTAGGAACTGCAGTGATAGAACAAGGAGTAATGGGTATAAATTGAAAGAGGGGAGATTTAGATTAGGTATTAGGCAGAAATTTTTTCCTGTGAGGGTGCTGAGACACTCGAACAAGTTGCCCAGGGAGGCTGTGGATACCGCAATGCTGGCAGTGCTCAAAGCCATGTTGGATAAAACCTCGAGCAACCTGGTCTAGTGCAAGGTGTCCCTGCCATCTTCAAGATTCATTCCAACCCCTTAACATGCTATTATTCGGCAAGCAAATATTACTAGTGAATAAAGTAAAACCTCTTCTGGAGCAAAATAACATTTAAATAGTTTTTACTGTGCTTTTATGAGCCAGTTATAATCCTAAATTCAGTCAATAATCTAATTAAAACATCCCATTCAAGCCATATTCAATACCAGGCAAGAGGTAAAGCCTTGTAAACTCAAGTTAGTCATAACATCCAACCCTCTGAAGGGATCACTGACACATTTCAATTTTACATTAAAGACTTCTAAGAAACTCGACGGGATGTTCAGAGTCAACAATTTAGCTAAGAAGTGACTGAAGTCAGTCCCTGGTTAGCTTCAGGAGGGAAGACACAGTTGTGTGGGTTTTGGTGCTCTCTTTAAAAACAGAACACTTGAGGAGCCATTTTCATTTTCTCCTATCATTTCTTTTTCCACTCTGCTAGCATTTTAGCAGCAGCAGCACACAGTTGCCATGTGGGGAAATTTCTACAACACATTCAGCAGTTTGACAAAGCAAACAATCTTTGAACAATTACTCAATTTGGAGATCAGAAACCAAGTTTAAGGTAAACCTAACATTAATAAAACATTTTTAGGACCTGTTTTGTTTACTGAATGATTAGTCCAAAGAGATTACATGTTGCACCAGGATAACACTACAAAAGCACTGCTAAACCAAAATTTTACTTCCAGGAACTGTGTAGTCCAGATAGTACTGAGACAAAAAGACTTTTCGTTTATATTATATACACATAATTTAGTTGAGCTGTTGCAGAACCAGAAATACTTGTCACTAGCAGTGAACATCAAGATTACATAGAAGAAGAACAGATTATTCAAGTCTTAAATAAGTTTTATATAAATCTTGCTGAAAAGGGCTAGACCACTCAAATCCCCTTTGCACAGCAAATCCAAGTCTCCGAAACATTAACTCCATCTTCCTTCTCTCCTGTCTACTTTAACAGAAGTGAAGCTGATGACAGTTGCCTGCTCAAGAGCTCATATGAAGTCTAAAGCAGACCTTACAGCTCTACTTTCAAATCTGAACTCAAAACTTTTACAGTGGCTCTGTTCTTAACCCCTTGCTTTCTTCACTTCCAATCTGACCAGACTACCCCTCCAAAATGACTTATCTTGTAAGCACACTAAGTAAGGGTGTGTTTTATTGAGTCTGGACACTGGCTGCCAAGGTTGCCCACGCCATGGGCCTTGCCATGCAACACTCCGATGTGTAAGCAGGAGGTTGGGATTTAGGCCTAAGAGTGAAATAGGTAAAAACCTGGGTAAGAGGCTAAATATGGAGAGGGTGACGGCGAAGCACTGCAGTGGCCATATCTACTGTTTAGAGGCCATGCCAGGCTGGGCAAGCTTGTCACCAAGAGGCATTTTATTTCAGCACAAGACAAGCCCTGCAGAGTTACTGGAATGTCGCTCTCTGCACAGCATTGAGCAGTTTTATAGCCTGAAGAAGCACTTGCTGTCTCAGGCACAACACTGGAGCCAAGACACAGCAGTTCAGAGGAGCATCTGTGCCAACTTCAGACACAGCCAGCTCTAATTCACAAAGCTTTAGCTAAGGCTTCAATTTAAGCAAAGTCAATTGAAGTATTTATGGATTCAGGCTGGTTTGGATGCAGGATTTGATCTGTACTTGAGCTAGTAAGACTGTGGACACAAACCAGAGGTTAGCCTCTCCCCATTAGGATGTGAATCCATTCCCCAGACAGAGCTGTCAGTTCAAAAACTACATTCCTATACAGAATAAGCTTTGCTATCCTGTCAAGGCAGTGGTTGCTAACAAGTTTTCTTTCTGACTTTTAACTGAGGACACAGTATGGAGACCTCAGAACAAGAATTAAATACACCCCTGAGCAAGCAAACCACACTAAATAAAAGCAGTTGCAGTTGTAACAATGGAGACTACAATGAGGTCATTAATGTAAATCAAAATTTTACTGTACAGACAATATGCAAAAAATCTTGTGCCATTTTAGAAGCCGAACGCATAATAACACAACTTTATTCTGAAAGTACTCAACCTCACAACATACACTAAGTGCAGTAAATTCATTGCAGTAAGTCATCTGCTTTCTGAAAAAAAAAAACCAAAACCAAAACTCTAGTGAGAGACCTTTGGGACAGCACCTACTTGTTCAACACCTGAAGGTAAAAGCATTTTCATCAGAAAATGAGACAGATATTAACCACTCGTTTCTGACACACTGACTTCCTTTATGTCTTTCAATTAAAAACTTTCTCTGCCTAACCAGACCATTGTAGCCGCTGGGAACAGACAGGATGGAGTAGGGAACTAAGTCAAACAGCAGCATAGATTCAAAATTTTATGACTTACTTTCACACGTCTGAATTACTCAACATACATGTATAAAACCTAAAAGAACATTATTGCCCAGCCACAGTTACAGGCTATTTTAATACTTCACAGAACTGTATCTGCTTGGGGACTACTATTAAGTCCTTAAACTGAATAGCTCAAGACTATAAAGCAGAGGAATCTATAGGACCTTTAACATCAGATTCTGTATCCTATCTTGATGAAGACCACACACTTTCCTGGTAAACAAGAAACACAGATGTAGGAAAAATCACATGCCTGATGAAACAAAACTGATTTGTCCTCTCCTGACTTTCTTCAATAACTACCATTCTAAAAAAATGTTAATGCATTCCTACAGCAGGAGATTGACACAGAAATATGATTAATTGCTAGGATGAATGGCAAAAATTGTGAAGTTTCTTGAAATTTCTGTCAGAGGTAAGTAATATTCTATTTTCCATGAAGATTTCAGCTGCCTTTGAGAAGCAAACCTTGTGGTTACCTTATGGCCTAAAATGTATACAGTAAATACCTAAAGAAATCTGAAACAAGATCTAAGATTCCATCTTCTTATCTTCCTAATCAGTTTCTAGACAGTGTTTTTTACTGTTTAGTTGTCCTTATGGAGAAGGAACTCTCAGGGAAAAAAAGATACCAGAGCTGAGACACTTTTGCAACAAATTATCCAACTTGAAGGTGGCTACCAGACTAGCATTACTGAACTGAACACAGCAAATACAAACCTAAAAGTTCGTGCTGCTAGTATTTATATGAATTTATTCTTTCTTGCTAACTATGCTGGAAGTTTAGGTGACTAATTTCCAGGGGAAAAGGGAAAGACATTATACTGCCAAGAGCAATGCTCACAGCTAATAATTTTGAAAACTACAGACATGAGTAAATGTATTAGCTTTGCTCAACTTCAATTACAAAGACCAATAACTACAATACCACTATGCTTTTTTATAGCTCTCT